AGATTCGAGTCATAGCAACCCCTCCTTGGGTTTCCAAGGCAGTATCACTACAGAAGTAGATTGCCCAATCTTCTTTCTGAGGAGTGGCTGGTAGGTTTGAACCAGCTACTTCTGGTTAGCAATAAAATGCCTTAAGCACTAAACCACCAGAGCTCTCTTCCTAAATCTTACAGTGTAGAAGGGCTCCTCACCTCAACTGACTACCCTTCTGTCTTAAAATCCCTTTGAAATGAGACAAGGCAGAAGTAATCTTTTTAGGACTCTCTCCCTCCCCAGCCCTTCATCCTGGCTTTAGAGGCACCACAGCAAGGCTGTCAACATTTAGTGTGCAAAATACCCATCTGGGGAGTTGATTTAAATTAATGCAGATTTCTGGGTCCTAACTCTAGCTCCTGATTTGCAAGTGGCTTTAGAATCTGTATTTCAATCACCATCGTAGGATATTACACAAATGTCCTATTTGACCCTAACCCCCATCCTGTAAGGTAACTAAGGCACAAGTAATCATCCAAGTTTTACAGACTTCATTTGCTCCTTCACTTTGTAGTCACACACAAAGGTGTTAAAAGAAGGATCTGGGATCTGCTTCCAGCCATGACAGAGTAGCTGATACTTTACCTGTCCTCTGGCTCTAAACAACTAGGCAATTTGAAAAGAAAAAGAAAAAAAAATGTGTGTGTGTGTGTGTGTGAGAGAGAGAGAAACAACTGTTTTCAGACACTGGACAATAAAAGCACAGAACTGTGATCCCTGAAAGAAGGGAATCAAATGAAGTGAGCCCTATGATCACCCCGGCTTTCTGCCTACAGGTACTTCTGAGACTGTGGCACAGGGAGGGGAACGCCCAGCACAGCATAAAGGTCTCTCTGAGTTGAAGAGACAGAGACTAAGGTTTAGGAGGGCCACTGTGGCTGGAATTTGAGAAGCAGGGCATGACAGAGAGGGTGGCTATGCAGAAGAACTCCATCAATCTAGTCCAACTGAAAAAGTTCTGCATGTGCAGGGTGAAACTCCATAAGGCAGGACAAAGAATCACTCCCAGGAAGATGTAAGCTGAACAATTTCCAGAGTTCATACAGGACTGGAACAGGCTCAGTTCCAGCCAGAGTGAAGATACCTTATTCAACAATTGGGAATTCAGTAAAGCCACCACTGTAGTAGGGCTAACCTAACCCTTTGTTGTTTTTATCTGCCATCTCATCAACCTCTGACTCATGGCAGCTAGACATACCCTAATAAAGTTTAACAATAATTCTCAGTTTCATCCAGTTGATCAAGTAAGTTAACTGTCTGCCAAAACAAATGTATTCATTTTTAAAGGAAAGAAAGATCCACATAATAACATAATCCAACATAATAACATTCACAATGTCTAGCATCTAATAAAAAATCATAATAAAGTGAAGAAGCACAAAAATATGACTTGTAACCAAGAAAAACATCTGTTAATGGAAACAGAGAAGATGGACTAGTAGACAAGGACTTTAAACCAGCTACTCTAAGGATGTTCAAAGATAAAAGAAAACATGAACAAAATGAGGAAATAAATAGAAAGCATAAAAAGAACCAAATGGAGCTTATAAAGGAGAAAGATGCAATATCTGAAACAAAAACTTCACTGTATAGGTTTAACAGCAGATTAGGCATTGTAGAACTGTAGTGACCCTGAAGACAAAGCAAGAGAAACTATCAAACTGAAGCACAGAGGGAAAGAAAAATAGACTGGAAAAAATACAGAGCCTCAATGACCTGTGGGACAATAGCATGTTATATAACACATGTACCTGTGATGTTGTTGTTGTTGTTGTTGTTGTGTGCTGTCGAGTCAGCCCCGACTCATAGCAACCCCTCCTTGGGTTTCCAAGGCAGTATCACTATGGAAGTAGATTGCCCAACCTTCCTTCCGAGGAGTGGCTGGTGGGTTTGAACCACCAGCCTTCTGGTTAGCAGTCAAGTGCCTTAGGCACTACGCTACCAGAGCTCCTTGTACCTGTGATAGGTGTCCCAGAAAAAGAAGGAAGAAAAAAAATTTGAAGGAATAATGGCTGAAATTTTCTAAATCTGATGAAAACTATAAACCCACAGACTCAAGAAACTCAATGAAACTCTTGTAGGATAAACACAAAGCAAACTATACTAGGGCACATTGTAGCCAAATTGCCAAAAATAACTGGTAAAAGAAAAAAATTAAAAAGCAGTCAGAAAGATAAGAAGAAATATTACATACAGAGGAACAAAGATATGAATGGCCAATGCCTTCTCATCAGAAACAATGCAAACGCTAAAAGAAAAAAATACATATACCTATCAGCCTGGAATTCTCTATCTGGTGAAAATACTCACCAAAAATGAAGGTGAAATAGGCATTTTCAGACAAAGCCAATGTTGCCAGAGGAGCAGCTTTAGAAAAATGTCCCTGGCAGTTCCTTAGGTAAAGGAGAATGATACCAGATGGAGCACCAACACAAAGAACAAAGAGTAGAGAAATGGTAAACACGAGGGTCCAAAAAAGAAAGCTTAGCTAATGTCGGGCCTCAGCATAATCTCCCCTTGAGAAGGTTCATTCTGAAATGTACATACAAACTTCACCTTTTCTCTTGAGTTTTGAACATGGGCTTTGCCACAGCTGCTGGCCTTTTTAGTGCTGTTTCCGACTTCAATTACATAGCCAGCCACTGACTGACGACTATGTGTCACGCAGAGCCCTAGTGGTACAGTGGTTAAAGTCCTCAGCTGTGAACCAAAAGATCAGTGGTTTGAAACTACCAGCCACTCCGTGGGAGAAAGATGTGGCAGTCTACTTCCATATAGATTTACAGCCTTGACCACTGCCAACCACTTAGAAAGGTATCAAAATTTGAGATCCTAGATAGAGTGGGAGAAAAAGTGGAACAAAACTCAAAAGTATATGACAGACTAGGCCTATTGGTCTGATAAAGACTGGTAAAACCCTTGAAACTATGACCTCTAGTCACCCTTTGGGCCTGGAACTGAACTCACTCCTGTGGCTTCCAGCCAAACTACAGACAGGCATATGAGGCGAACAATTACACTAGGGAGGTACACTCCTTAGAACAATCACCATGGGAGATCGGAAGGGCAGCGTTTGTGCAGGGAGAAAGCTCACAGGGCAGAAGTGCATAGGAAAGAAGGATACCTAGAAAAGGTAACCACAGGGAGGAAGTGGGAAAAGAGCTATTATATTGTGGGGATTGCAATCAATGTCACAAAATAAAATGTGCATTTTAGTTCCCTGATAGAGTGGAAAACTGAAGTGTTAAGAGTATTGTGTTATATTTTAAGTGTTAGCTTCTATTAAAAATAATAATAAAAAATGTGTATGAACTGTTGAATGTAAAATGAATTTGCTCTGTAAACTTTTGCCAAAATCACACACACATACACACACACACGCACACACACACATGATTTACAGCCTTGGAAACCCTATGGGGCAGTTCTACTTTGTCCTATAGTGTCACTGAGTCTGAATTGACTCAATGGCAGTGGGTTTGGTGTGTGTCAAAGGTAAAGAAGGCTTGGGGTCTACCATCACAGAGCTTAGAGCTTGGTGGAAAAACAATGAAGCCAACAGTTAAGTGTGATGTGTCCTAACTGTACTCAACCTCCCTCCAGTCACTTGGGCAGCTTACTTAACCTCTCTGTGCCTTACTGTACAACAGAGAGACTATAGTGCCTGTCTCAGAGTGTTGGGAGGGTTAAATGCTCGATCATACATAAGTTGGTAGAACAGTGTCTGGCGTGTAACGAACACTCACTATTGTTGCTCTTACAATGGAGGTTTGCTCAGGAGAGTTAGGGATACAGAAGGACATTGAAGTCAGACAGGGAATGGGATGGGAAGGGAAGACATTCCAGAGGCATGACGCTTCAGAAGAGTTTTGAAGAGTGAGCAGGTTTATCTGGATAAAGATGGAGTGAGGTGTTCCAGAGAGAGGCAGCAGCACTTAGCAAGGCATGGAGACTGGAACAATGGGCTGTGATGGCACCACTGAAAACATTTTTACTAAGCCTGCAGCAACAGTGGCTTAGCTGTGACTCGGGGAGTACCGTGGGGGTTCTGGGACCTCTCTGGAAGCCCCAGTGACTTCCTTCAAGGACATCTTACCTCCTCCATCATCTGATCCACCCAGGCTGTGCTGTCTAAGTCGGTGACTGCTCCCCAAAGGAAGAAAAGGAAATCAGAAAATGAGTTTAAAACACCGAAACGGTCAACATTTTTACTGTATCCATTCTTTTTCCTAGATCAAAATGTCCCAGACCCTCTTACTTCCATCAATTTGGTCAAACTCAATTAAGCAACGGGGTCTTCCATGTCCAGCTGCACAGGCTGGGCAGTGCACAACTCCACAGAGTAGCACCACACAGACTGATAGGAATGCTCCCTGCCCACTCCTCAGAGTAGTGAAATTGGGTGGCCCTGCCTTGACACTTCATTTTTATCTAGAAACCTTTTCTTTTTGATATAAGCCTTAGGAGAAGGCTAGACTTAGAAAGCTAGGGTTATTTCTGCCCATCTATTTCAATAAAGCAAAACCTAAAGGTCAGTGTCCTGATATATTGACATACTTCTTAAAAGCACAGGGTGGGGAATAAAGCACATGAAATACACTAATTTGCTCCTATTCTCCCCATTGAGATCCTTTTTCAACACAACACCCCAATGTACGGGCCTCAGTCCCAGAGCCTAGACTGCTAGTAGAGGAGCAGCATTAACCAAACCCTTGCTTCAGTAGAGGCCTAATTCCAGCCCCAGACCACGGCCAGGCTCCTGTTATCTAGCTGTGAATGCTGTGCTCCACACAGGCTGACTAGATGACAACCACCAAGACTGCACTGTTGACAAAGGTCACCACAGGATACCGTAAGAATACTGGAAACATACTCTTCTATTTCTTCAGAAATCTTCCTTCCAAACCTGAAAAAAAGAAAAGGCTTATGAGAACCCACCACTCTCATACATTGGAGAGGTATATTGGAAGGCAAATTAGTGTACCCTAAGAAGTATAGCCGGAATGCTCCTTAGCAGTAAGAATGGCCAGACTTCATCTCATGTACTTTGGTCATGTTGTCAGAAGGGACTGGTCCCTGGAGGCTATCATGCTTAGTAAAGTAGAGGCTCAGTGAAAGAGGCAAGACCCTCAAGGAGACGGACAGACACAGTGGCTGAGATGATGGGCTCAAACACAGCAGATACTGTGAGGGTGGTGCAGGCCTGGGGATCATTTTGTTCTTGGTACACAGTGGCAAGGCAGAGCCGACTTGACAGCACTTAACAACAACAAGTGCTTTACTTGTCTGGATCCCTCTTTAGAGACCACGCCCTATACCCATCATGAGAGTTACAGATCCTGCAATGCTTTCTTATAGACTTATTTTAACATAACTCTAAATTAAATCATTGACTTTAAGTGCAGGTTGCCTGAGAAGCTCAAAATTCAAATGAATATAGATAATACGATGTCACTCTTTCTTTCACCCATTAACTGACCGATTTGTACAGCGCTTCCCTATGAGCGAGGCCCCGGGTCCTGTCTGGTGCTGTTAGCTGTTAGCATGTGTTGCTTCCCAGGAGCCAAAAGGTATAAACTGGGCACGCAGTCCAGGCTGCAAGGACGGAGCCTGCCCTTCTGGACCCTCAGCATGAGGGGCAGCCAGTCCTGTGAATGATGTTGTGCTGGAAGTTCCCCTTCCGATGCCCCGTGAGCACAGGAAGCCTTGTCTTACACACACGTCTTCATCTACAGCAGTGGTTCCTAAACATGAGAGCGCACAGGCACCATCTGGGGAGCTTGTCAGACACACGGATGGCTGGCGCTGGCAGCCAGAGACTTCTCAGTCAGCTGGTTTGAGGGAGCAGGCAGGCCTCGGCGTTTTAAACACATTTCCAGGTAATTCTAATTTAAGCAAATCACTAATAATAACTGACCTAAAACTTCTAGACAAGACTGGCAAAATGTTGATATCTGCTAAGGCTGGGCACTGAGTACGTGTGTAATTAGTTTTTGTATGCTGAAAATATGCAAAACAACAAAACTGCCTAACAAATGAATTCTTTTAAGTCAGAAATCCTTCACCATGATCAACAGGGGGTGAGGTAGGTGGGAAAGTCATAGTGGCTGGGAGGCAGGACGCAGGGGAAGGAGCCTAACTGGGCTGAGCCCATAAAGCCCGCCAGCTTACTGAGGCATCAAAGCCAACCAGCAATTCCTGCAAAATGCCAACCGTTCTCCACAAGAGTTTAATAATAAATTAAACTCAAGTTTAGGCAGACTGCCTTCCATGTAATTCAGACCCTATCAACTGCACTCTGCCCAAAACCAAACCAAAAAAGGAGCTCTGGTAGCACAGAGCTGGCGGTTCAAACCCACCAGCCCCTCCTCAGAATGAAGGTTGGGCAATCTACTTCCATAGTGATACCGCCTTGGAAACGCAAGGAGGGGTAGTTGGGTCTGACTCAACAGCACATAACAACAACAACAACAAGGTATATACATTAGGAGCTCTTGTAGCATAGTGCCTAAGGCACTTGACTGCTAACCAGAAGGCTGGCAGTTCAAACCCACCAGTCACTCCTCAGAAGAAAGATTGGGCAATCTACTTCGGTAGTGACACCACCTTGGAAACCCAAGGAGAGATCGTTATGAGTCGGATATGACTCTATCCCCATTTTTTTTTTTTTTAAATAGTCAAGGAGGGAGAAGAGAACAGATAGTTTGAAGAATAAAACCAAAAGCAGTCACCGCTGAGTCAATTCTGACTCAGGGAAGCCCATGTGTGCACAGTAGAACTGCTCCATAGGGTTTTTAAGGTTGTGGCCTTTAGGAAACAGTTTGCCAGGCCTGTCTTCTGAGGTGCCTCAGGTGGACATGAACTGCCAACATTTCAGTTACCACCTGCACTACTAACACCACTGCGGTGATCTCCCGGGCTGTAGCATTTGTTCTTATAGGGCAGAGTAAGGAGGCTAAGCAAGTAGGGGTGGGAGGTCCGATGTGAGAGACAGGGCTGCAGGAGGGCATCAAAGGCAAATTGTCACCAGGGTGCCCAGAGCGCCACCACCATGGTCACTCAGGTGACCCAGGATGCAGGTTTCCAATGCCTGTTCTAAGTCCCAGCATCTTAAATGTGAGCCCCTGATGGTAGCCACAGCCACCTTCTGTCTGCATGGGAAGACCCAGAGCTCTCGTAGTTCAAGGCCACTGCCCAGGATCACTGCCTCCAAGGGTCTGCGTGAAGTTGACTCCATATACCAGTAGCCAATATGTCACCAAGGGAAGAAGAGCTAGATGGTAACAGGGATAAGACAAGAATTAAAGGCGCAAGGTAGACAAGGCCAGGGCCTTCATCATGTACTTTAAGGGACATATTCGTCTCTGATTGCCCTTAGGAGTTAGGACTGAATTGTCCCTTTCTGAAGCAATGTGTCCTGGCAAAAGTGGTTGTGATTTTGTCTGAAGGAAACAATAATGATAATGCTAACCTTCGGGAGAAGGCTGATTAATTGCAATTATCCACTCAATATCCTAAAAGGGGTGAGTTTAATATTCAGCTTAATTGCTGCTCAGCCCACATTCTGTTCTCTCCCTCTGGGGGGTGCCCAAGGACTCTCCTGCAGCTCATTCCACCCATGGAGGAAGCATCCCCACAAGGAGTAAGATCAAAGTGGAGCCCTCAAGGACAGACAACAGGCCTCCCCTCAGATGGTAGTCTGTGTGTCTGTCTCTGTGCCGTCTGGGTGAGAAGGAGCAGGTTCTGCAGAGGCTTCTGCTTGGGAGATGGAGATGCTAGTGGGAGCCTGGAGAGGTAGCACGGCACACCCTGCCTCTGGGCCAGGTCACAGATGGAGAACTGTCCACTTCCAGGCTGATACAGCCTGCAGATGTCTTTGGTCTAGGCCACAGTGCTGTTTATTTTTTGTTTTGTTCTGTATGGTTTTAATACGAACTAGTTGCCAAAATTGGGAGATTCTGCTAAAAAATGTAGATGTATAAATTCTTAAAATAAACACCTGGTGACATGAGACCTGTGCTCCCACATGTAAAAGTCAGGTGACCCGGAGCTGTGGCTGCCCTCCTTACATGAGGCTGAGTTCAGTCCCTCTCTACAGCTCCTGAACGCTGGGGTCCAGCCTGGTTGCTACACTGAAAGTGTACTGCTCCATCTTCTACAGTAGGAGCTAAGAGGCAAGGGCTGCGACCCAAAGTGAGAGAACAATAGGAAGAACATGGGAAGCATGTGCTCAGAGAACTGGGAGAGAGTACATCTCTTTACGGAAGTACGAATATACAAAGAATGTGTGTATGCGTCTCAGGACGCTAACTGAAAGTGTCATTCTGAAACAAACACCACACTTCTCAGATTTGCTTTACCTATCTGGTCTCCAAAGGCACCTCATCCCAGAGCAAGTACGCAGCCCAGCACAGTGACACAAAGTCCAACACAGTGACACACAGCCCAGCACAGTGACAGAGTCCCACAAAGTGACACCCAGCTAGCACGGCAACACACACAGCCCAGTGCACAGACACAGAGCCCAGCACAGAGGCGCACAGTCCAGAGCAAACGTGTTTCAAACTCCAGCTCGTGACCTAGCAGCGAGCCATGAGATCAACTGAGTGGCTCCACAGCAGCTCCCCACCCGCTTTTTATCACACAAAATAAGACAGAGTGGAAAAGAGTGCACTGTGAGTAGGAAGAAAAAGTATTACATGTACTTTCTGGTTTTGGTGGAATACACACATAAACCCTGTAATGATGTAAAGTGCATTTCTCTTTTTTTATTGTTGGTCATAGGTTAGAAAAGAAAAAACTAAAACACGGGGTCTATAATAGCTCCTTGAGGTAGGTCACCAGAGGCCTGGGGGCCGAGGCCCTGCCTACCGTAGGCAGTGTGGGGGAAAAGGCTAATTGTGGGTCCTGGCTCATCTCTTCCTTACAAACACACTTCTAAGTTATGAGGACCTGAGGTTGTTGAGGCCTGGGTGACCTGGCCCTGGCCCCATGGCAGGTCATCTGCAGAGCCATGATCAGCACAGACCAGGACTTGAGTCTATCACTGTCCAGTGGCCCCTGTGCCTCTGTGCCAAGTGGCCATTAGAGCATCTGAGACCCTGACACTGTAATAATCCTGTGTCATGTGACCACCTTATACAGACAGCACTTGCTAACCTGAGAGTTCCCATAAGAATCCTACATAGTGTGACCACCTTACACAGAGAGCACTTGATACTCTTTTTCACTTTACAACAGGAGCCACATAACTATGGGAACGAGGTAGAGCAGGTTCCAGCAGCACCATTTCCTAGGCAGGGCCTTTGGGCACTGTGGTTGGATGCTTTGCCCGCATCACACAGGACTAGTTAGTGATGAGGCTGAAGCTGGAATCCGAATCTCTTGATTTTCTAAAAACACTGCCCAAGACTTTCCGAAGCAGACACTGGCTGATTCCCCAGGCTGCTAAGGTGCCCAGCCAGCTACTTGGCTGTGCTGTGCAGACAGGCCATTCTTAAGGACGGCAATGGATGGTACAGACAGAGAATGGCAAGCTGGAGAGAATCCTTTACGTCAGTGACGCAAAACAGAATCACAACTGGGAAGCTTTTCCAATGGGCACTGCCTGGGCCTCATCCCAAAGCCCATGCAATAGTAATTGCTAGAGATGGGACTCAGTCATGTACATGAGAATCACTGCCTCAACCTTACTTCACATCTTAGGCTGAACCTTCCAGCTGCTAAGCAGCAAAACAGAAATGCATTTGCCATATCCTTCTGAGATTCCTACTGTCTTCTAACAAAAGTGTTAATGAACATGAACTTGACCAAAAGGCTGAAGGGAAGAGAGGAAGAAAAAGCAAGGGACTCAAATGGTTCATAAGCTTCCATTCCTGAGTGATCATGAATTGGAAATCCTGAAAT